GGAAACTAATTTTATGATCCTTATGGTGAAAGAAGTTTTGTTATGAGGGTAGCAGGGGAATAGTCTAAAAGGAGGAATAATATTTTAATAAATAAAGTGTGTGTGTTGAAGGGACATAACATAGTCATTAAGAGCAGAGGCTCTGGAGGCAGACTGCCTGGTTTCAAATCCCAACTCCAGCACGAGCCATCTGCATGACCTCGAATAAGACTTTTGTGTCTAAACTGCAATTTCTTCATCTGTGAAATGGAAATAAAAACAATGATATTTGTCTCATAAAATTGTGGTCAGATTAATTCAGGTAAACCAAGTAAAGCACTTGGCACAGTGCCTAGCACTAAACGAGAGCAGGGCTCAGAGAATGAGCTCACCACAGCCCCCAGTTTACAAGCTGGGACTCAGCCTCTGTGTTTGCAACAGATGACAGTGACGGTCGCTGTTACCAACACCCACCTCAATGAGCAGTTGTGAGGATGGCATGGGAGAACATGGGTCAAATACTGGGTTGGCCAAAAAGTCTGGATGTTTTTTTCTGTAAAATAAAAGGCAAATTTTTCATTTTTACTAGTAACTTTATTGATTTAGATATTTTCAGTATGTCAGCTATTTCCTGCATGGTGGAATGTTGGTTGTTCTCAATTAATGTCTCGATTTGATCACTATCAATTGCAACTGGTCTACCCAACCAAGGAGCATCATCCAGTGGGAAATCTCCAGCACAAACTTCACAAACCACTTTTGACACATTTGATCAGTCACAGCACCTTCTCCCTACTTGCACAATTTTTTTGAGTTTTAGTTGTTTTTTTACCTTTCTTGAAATAATAAAGCATAACATACAAAAATTTTGCATATTTTCTTCCATCTTCTATATTAAAATGGCTACATAAAAATTTAAAAATTTGGCATCTTTTCTTAAATGAATGCTTATATGACAGCTGTCACAATACAATCTAACAAAATTGTTTCTAATGAAGTTAAAGACAACTAAGCACTACTAGGGCCATCTAATGGAAAAAAAACAAAATTTTTGGCCAACCCAATACTAAGCACAGTGCTTGGTACAAAGTAAATTCCCAGTAAGTAAATTCTCAGCTATTTTTCCCCTTAAAAGCCTTCGTATTCTCCCTGCAAGCACTTGGCATGCCCATCTGCTCCGCTTTTAGTCTTTTCCAATACAATAACTCAGGAATCTGAGAGCAGCAGAGGATAGATATTTAAAAATTACCTCATTTATCTTCCCTTCCTCTTGGCAATTGATGAGGACCTTGAGAACCTTTCTTCCCCATTCCTCTATCCGAGTCACCCAGCAATTTTGAAGTCACTTAGGAGATATAATGCAAATTCCAATTAAATGTCATGAGCCCAAGGGTAGCACAATCTTTCTTCTAAAAAAAAGACAGACAACATGCCAATAACCAGTTTGTGGCTCTTAGAAACTTTCTAGAGTTGTACTTTTTTATTTCTTTTCTTTCAAACCCATAAGCTCACAGAGTTTTGCTGAATTCAATGTCCAGGTAATGCTCTGCTAGTACTTAATATTTCAAAGCTCTACCTTATGTTATTGGCACAATGTTGTGCTAAGGGTGGGAATGTGCTAAAGCTTATTCCTGGGAGTGTGAAATGGGACTTGTGTTTTGAATACATTTTCTTTAACTTCCCTGGTTCAACAGTTGCTGCATCTAATGGTTTACTATTTTTTTAAAACCCCAACAACACTCCTACCTACTCCTTTTTATAAACAAATGCTACCTCCTTCTACCTTCTGTAGGTCAATCATTGCATAGATTACTGGGAATGGGAGGGTAAAAGTCACTCACTTCCTCACAGCATATTTATTTCTTCCACCTTAAAACATAGACTAGCATTACCTCCCGACATATGAGGGGGTCTCACGATGGAACCAGGAACTGGAGGGCACTTATGGTCTGCATAACTCCTGATGACCTGAAAGGAAGCTGCACAAGTCAGGTGGGTGAACAGATGCTGCTTTTAAAAGGCAATGTGACTCCTGTTCATTTCTAAATTTAGTTTACAGAATACATGCATTAATAAAGTTCCCAGCTGCACATGGCTCTAGCCTCTCAGTTGTATATTTCTAATTGTTCATGAACCTACATATTTTGTATTATGGCTGAAGAATTAATGCCAGTTAATTTCTTTAGCTGAGAAGGAAAATTAGCAAAAAGTTAATGGTGATAGTTCTGCAAACCTCTTATTATCGAAGCTAAGATCTTCTACTTTGGGTACTCTATTTATTCATTCTTAAAAGTCTGTTTGTTTTCCTATAAGGACGAATAAAATGCATGCTTTTTTTCCCCTCACTTCACAGCAAAGAACAAAACCTAAATATTTCTTATATACCCTTTCTGTTGCTCATCAGGACACCCTGCTCCCACCCTGGGTGAGTCCTCCTGGACTGAGATTGTCTTCCTGTCTCCTTTCTACCCAGGAACCCCACCTTGGCCTCTGGCATCACCCTCACACGCTCAACAGCACTTGGCACTAGTTGTGCTGATCTCCTTGGTTTCCCCTGTTAGATCTGCTGTCCCAACTAATCTCTGGCCCAGGGTCCACTCTGTATTTGTGAATGCACATCTTGGAAAAGAAATACTTTATGATCATAGAAGCACTAATGCAAACACATGAACAAATATCCAGAGAAGAAACTAAGAGCTGATTGCTACACCACATGAGCCCATGTCCATAGAAAGGGAAACAACTGAAAAGGGACACAACTGAAAAGGGACCTGATTGAAAAGAAAGCCCAATGCCTACCAGGTGAAGGTGATTTCCACAGCTAAAGTGTGGGCTCTTGAACCCACCTGTGGCTTTAAATCCAGCTCCATCACTTTCTTGCCATGACGTTGGGCAAATTACTTAAGTAACCTTGATCATAAAATGTGGATAACATAGATAACCAACTTCACAGGGTGGTCATGAACATTAGATGAGATTATCCATATGAAATATTTATAGTGTACTTAATCTGTAGCATGCACTCAATAAACGTATGCTTTTTGTGTATCATGAAATTGATATTATCATATAGTACCTTTAATTAACCTCTCTGACAGCAAACATTAATTAGGTACCTGTCAGTTATTCAATCATTCATTTATTCATCAAAGGTTTATTGAGCACCTACTTTGGGACACTGTCTTCCAGATGTTTGGGATATGTCAATAACCAAAATAGACAAAGATCCTCAATGTCATGGAGTTTATATTTCTAGTGCAAAGAGGTAGACAATAAACAATAGCCTAATAAATAAACAAATTATATAATGTAAATGCTAGGAAAAAAGAAAATTTGAGCAGCCAAAAGGGGACTGTGAGTTTTTGTGGGCAGGTTGCAATCAGCAGAGACATTATTGAGAAGGTGCCATTCAAGCAAAGACTTCAAGGAGGAGGAGTTAGCCATGAGGCTGTCTGGGAGAAGAGCATCCAGTCAGGGGAACAGCCAATGCAAAAGCCATAAACATCTGCATAGTGTGCATGAGGCCAGCGTGGAGACTGGGTGGGTATGCAGGGGGTGGGATGGAAGATAAAGGGAGAGCTTAGGCTTTTAATCTGAGTGTAAAGAGTAGCATTGCAGGGTTCTGAGCAGAGAAGGGGCTATCTTCTCATCCACAGATAGGGTGGGATGGGCAGCACAGTTCCTTGTTTCCAGCCAATGTTCAAAAGCCTCAGCATCTTTCCCAAGGTTCAGCCATAACCACAGACTCATGTGGGCCAAAGGTCCCTATTGTACTTCCATATGATTTTACTTTTGATTAAGACAACCTTAGTGAAATAATTAGGCTTTAGACAAATGAACAAGTCACAATTTTATAAATGTTCGAAGTGCTGCTGCCTCTTGTGGGAGTTGGTCAGCATGTCATTTGTAGCAATCCCAAATACATCTTTGGACAGACATATGGATGCAAAGTCATGGAGAACAGTTATCCATAATATTGTTTCCAAGTTAATAAATATAACATTCTTTCCTACCTTTTCCCTGTATGTTCTATATATTTCTTGAAAATGTTTAGACTTACTCTTTGCTGATTTGATAACATGTGAGGTCATGTCTCAACTGAATGATATGATTTCCTCTGGAGCAGATGTTCAACTTAATCGAATATGCAGTAATACAGTTAAAAACTCAGTGAAAGTTTAGCTAGATTGAATGGAATGGAATTTCTTCAGGTACTTATTAACTTATTAAGTACTGGAAATTTTTGCTTGGTTTTTGTCATCATAGAAACTCAGATAATGAATATCACATTAAAATAATAAGTTTCAGTTAAATAATGTATCCTAAAATCTACTTCAAAAGGAAGAAAAGAGTAGGATAAAATATATTATCATTATAGTAGATGACACTAGCATCACTTTTCAATGACATTTCTTTGTAATTTTGGTCAATGTGGCAATGAAGTTTGCTTGGAAGCAGAGCTGAGAGTTCAGGATAAGTGAAAGAGTGGATAGATGTAATGATCAGCTTAACTTCTATGGGAAGTAAGTTCCTTTTTTTCTTAATTGATTTGAGAGAGAGAGACATTGTTGTGAAAGAGAAACATCAATCAGTTGCCTTCTGTATGCACCCCAACTGAGGATTGAACCTACAAACCAGGTATATGCCCTGACTGAGGATAAAACCCGCAACCTCTTGGTTTAAGGGACCACACTCCAAATAACTGAGCCACCTGGCCAGAGTGGGAAGTAAGTTTGTTATGGTAGTATCAATTTTTGCTGTTCCAGGAGCACTGCAAGATAAAGAAATAAACTGAAGCCCTGGCTGGCGTAGCTCAGAGGATTGAGCTCGGGCTGCAAACCAAAGTGTCGCAGTTCGATTCCCAATCAGGGTACATGCCTGGATTGCAGGCCATGACCCCCAGCAACCGCACATTGATGTTTCTCTTTCTCTCTCTTTCTCCCACCCTTCCCTCTCTAAAAATAAATAAATAAAATCTTAAAAAAAAAGAAATAAACTGAGCACACACACAGAAAAAGAGATGGTTTTATGTTCTTTATTTGTGACATTTGGATTCTTAAGCTCATATAGAATTGATTTCAGATATGTCCTTTAGTTTTAGTTTGCTTTTCTAACTGATTTAATTGTATTAGTATGTTCTTCTAGTCAAACCCTTAATTTAATCACAAATGGAGCTAAAAGTTTGGTGATCATGTTTTTTTCTGATGCAATTAGAAAAGATACTGGAAAACTTTGGAATTAGAACACTAATAGCTAATAGAACAGCTTAATTATCAGACTAGAACTGGACTCTTCCCTCTAAAAGTTACAGATTCTTATTTGCTCACTGAAATCTTCTTACCCAGAATTAATAACTGCCCAGAGGAGGGAAATAGTCTGTTATAAAAAGGTTTTTTTTTAATTGATATACTTTCTAAAGCAGCAAAAATCTATTATTTCCAAAACACAGTTTGTTTGGCTAATTCTAAGAGAGAATCACCTACATCATCAAGGACCAAAATTATCCAAGAACCAATGGCAACAGTGTTGTTTAAGTGACACACCTGACTCCTTTTAGGACTTTGCCTTTGTACACATTTCTCCACAATGTGCCCAGGCTTTTCCTATGACTTTTCTTTTCTTCTGTGTGATACCTAATGGGTGTGGCTATGGAAAGTTAGAGACCATAGGAATTGCTGTGCTTCCATCCATGACCAACCAGGATGATGAATTGGCATAAATCACCCCCACAAGCTGAGAAGAACTCTCTCCAAGTCCCTTAATATTCTGCCAATTAAAGAGGTGTTTAAAGCAGACAACACAGTGTGATCTCATGAAAAATGTTAAATGTAGGAGGGAAGGAAGGTAAAGAAGATGAATCAAAATAGTTGAATATAATATAGATATGAATTTAGTGTGGGAAAATATAACAAAAATTTATAAATGTATAAAGTCAAGTCAGGATTTAGCAAAGGCACAATATAATTTGTAGAAAATGTGCAATAATTTTCTCCATGTTCACTGCCGGTTACATCCTAGTGCACAGTGACAGGGAGTGCTTTGGCAGGCTTCAAGTGGGGCCACAGACATGTTAGTATGAGGGCAATAAGGCTTCTGGGGGACTTTGTCCATTGGAGAGTGTTAAAGGAAAAAAAGGCTGAAGGGCAACTGGTGTTGGTCTTCAAATACTTAATAGGCATGCAAATAAAGCTCTCATTTATTATATTTTTACTTATTCTATTTAATCTTTGGATCTTTTTAAAATGTGAGATTCTAAAAAGGTGAACTGAAACTCAAAGCTAATAGTTTGGCTCAAGTTGAATGGAAGTTTCAGATGGTATAAAGTGTTCAGTGCATTATACTCAAGGACACTGTAGAATTTCTATACCTGACAGTCTTTGAGAGTAGAATTGTTTTTTTTTTCTTTTCACCTGGAATGTTACTCATATAGTTTGGGAAGGTAGAAGGAATGGATTAAGAAATCTCTAAAAGTTGCTTTCATTCATTCTGCCCCTCAGAAATGAGAAAACACTCCAGGAAGAGAAAATTAACCATTTTTGGAAGCAGAAACTGAATCTACCTGAGTATTCCCAACCAAGTTCCTTTTCATCGTTACCCTCCTAAGAAGCATTTTTAGACATTTAATTCAAAATCATCCTCTACCCCCATGAAATGATCATACCACATATATACTTCATATCGGTGTACAAACTTTGTCCCTTTGTAATATCTATACCACCCCAATTTTTTGCTCTTGGGCACAAAATGCATGCTTTTCAATGAAAGTACATGCTCTCTAAAATAAACATGGGTCTGAATGGGGGGTCATTGGGGGTGGGAAAAAAAGACATTACATACATTTCAACTCTGGATTTTGGACCATATAACTTCTCATTAGCCAGCATGCTCATGTACTGCCCGCACAGGGAACATTTTGGTTCCCCTTCACCTCTGTTAAATGGAAAGAGATGAATTCCTTGTCACTACTACATCTTCTAACTGCAATGGTTGCAATCCTTGGGAGATCCTGGTCCTCCTTGAGAAAAATAAGGCTGTGCACATTTATAAAATGTATGTGTGCTGAGTTCCAGAGTTTCATAATGAATTATAGAACATTATAATGAGTGGGTCTGACAGACCCCTGACACCTGAACCCACTGATCAAGCTTAACATTGTGAGACAACTTGACATTATATGCTTCCAGATTTAATGCAATAGAAAAGAGACAACGTCACATATATAACATTCTTGCTAAAAAAATGTTTATCCGGAATCTAATAATGAGGGATGAAACAGAAAAAGAATCCCAGACTGTGGACAGTCTGTAAACAAAGCAGACCTAACTTTTTAAGGCAGTGTCATGAAGGACACACTACACACACACACACACACACACACACACACACACACACACAGGAACTCCAATCTATTAACTCAGAAGAATGACAACTAAATAGCAATGTATGATTCTTAATTGGATTTTGGATTTAAAACAAAATATATAAACACTTTGGGGATAATTGATAAAGTGTTTTCAAGTTTTATGATGTCTGCAACATATTTTGAAGTGTTCCATCAGTAAGAATGTGTATATTTACAGAGACAGACAAAATATGGAAATGCTAGCAATTAAGTGAATGTTAACAATTGATGCAGGTAAGTGATGGGTATATCGATGTCCATTGAAATGTCTCCTTTTTGAAATTTTTCAGAAAGAAATAATAGTAGCTACATGTATAATTCAACTGAAACAATAATGGAAAATGAAGGGGAGCCAGCAAGGTTCAGAGGAAGGAGCAAGGTGTCAGTCTCAGACCCAGAGAGCCGCTGGTGCCTGCGGGCTGCCGGGAGCTCAGAAGACTTTCCGCTCCCAATGAGATGTACTAATGATGTAGTTGGGCCAAGGAGATTAAAACCAAAAACCGGCCTGTAATGATTTTCTTTAGGATTTGCCAAACAAGGTCTGTGGGAATAAAAATACTCTGTAATTAAAAAATGAGAGTAGTGTGCCAGAACTTATCCTAGAGGAGTTGATTAGAGCAATTAGCAATACAACCAGGAAGGAACTGTTTCAAGAAGTTGAAAAAATGTTTGGATTTTTAAGTTGAATGAAAATTTTATATGCACAAACAGTTAACAGAAATAACATTAGAAAGAATTAGTGTCAAATGTCTTCCAAGTCCAGCATCTTATTTGATTGAAATGCGGGAAAACAGTCAGTTTTTAATGCAGGACTCCTGAGGCTTTCCGCAGCGCAGCGCTTCCGAGCTCCTCCCAGGGCGTGGGCTCCACACAGCCGCTCTCTGTCCCTCCTTCCGGCGTTCCACGTACTGTACTTACTGCGCATTGCGGGGGCTCCTAATTTATTTTTCTCTGGATTCTTAGGACAGTCAAATATTCTTTCTGCCAAAAATGATGCTAAAAAAATCTTTGCCTCCCTTGCCTCTAAAATGGGGATGGGGCAGTGCCTGTTGAGAGCACAATTTGGAGAGAGGTAGCAGGATTTGGATTCCATGAGACAGCTTGGACGAGATGCAAAGCAAGGGTTGGCTCGCCAGGTTGGGTCGAGGCAGAATGTCCCCATACCGACGGGCAGCCCTTTCTTAGTTTGGACCAAGAAGATTTCATGCTTTCTAGCCTCTGGCAGCCACCAGTGGCTTCAATACATTACATGAAATGAAACAAAATCAGAGTTGTTTAGTTATTCTTTAATCGGTATTACATTAAAATGCACTAATACATTCTTATCTACTTCCCTCCACCAATTGCGATTTTGTCATATGCAAATGATCACTGGAAGTATTATCACTGCCTAGTCACAGACTCCCAGGGCAGCCACAGCTTCAGGGTGAATCAGAGAAGGCAACATTCTTGAAGCAGAACTCATGGAGGTTCCAACAGGCAGGGCGTTGCACAGAATGTGTTACTCTGTCTACTGGAGCACAAGACTTGGGAAGGATGGAAGAAGGAAGGAGCTCCAGCTCCACGGTTACCTTGGCAACTGTGGCACATTCACTGGGGCAGAAAGTAATTTTATGCCATAATATAATACAGCAGAAAAGAGGAAAGTGTGGAGGAAGAGGAAGAAAACATGGACTGCATTTAAAAGCTCAGAGGGCCAGCTAGGAAGGTTCCAAGTCAATGCTCGGAGAATCTGAGCTTCATGCATCAATAAGCAATTGTACTTTTCTTTTTCACTGAAATTTTAGTATTATGCAGAGACAGCCATGACTCCCTACCCCCTAATTAAGAACAAACACTGCACTAATCTGGCTCAGGGCCTCTGCTGATCATCCTTAGTCATTTACAACTTCCTTTTGTTCCTCTTCTGGGAAACAGGAAAAATATCTTGAATGGAAGAAACAAGGAGTGGAGTGGTTATAAAAAACACTCAGGGTAAACTGGCAACGTGGTGGCATTTTGCTAGAAATCAGTCTCTTCCCTGTAGTTAAAGGGTGTAGACCCTGTTGGGGGCAGAGACCAGCCACCCCTCAGGGTGTCCCTGATGAAACCGCCCATTAGGAAGACAGTGCCAGTGCTGCGGTGGGGCCTCCGGTCTCTCCAGGCTCCGCAGCCCCGCACACAGCTGAGACACATGATCGGGGTGGGAGTCCTCAGGGACCCAAAAGGAAGGCTCGTTGTAGAAAAATTTGCTTTGTAACCAGAGATCTAAAAGCACTTGGTACTTAGAAAACACATACAGAAAAGTCAGCCAGTGGACAGCCAGTGGATAGGTGGAAGAGTACAAACAGTATCTTGGTCTCACAACCTGAATTCCAGCACTGCTTGGGCACAGGTCCCAGGCAGAACTGCCACACAATCAGGAAGCTTCCTCCAGAGCCAGGAGCGGAGGGGCAGTCCTTCTCTCATGCTGTGGACAGCTGGCCCACAGGTCGTGGCTAGCAGCACTCAGGGTTAAGAGCACAGGAAGGGATGGGGGACGTCTCTCAGGAATCACCCCTTGTCTACAGCTTGCCTGCTCCTGGAAGTCTGTACGCCATTTCATCCCGTGAGGTCTCCCTCCTGTCCACCTGGAACTTCAGGAACAAACAGCTTTCCTCTTTCTTCGAAGGGTAAGATGGGGTCTTAGTGACACATCCTGCTCGTCATCTCTTTCTGGAAAGCAGGGGGAGAAGGATGGTTAGGGAAAACTCACAGCAGAGATGACATGTTGAAGGGTTCTGCCAATACCCTTGTGACCTCTGGAGTCTTTAAACAAGAGCTAGCAAGCATAGCCCATGAAAAAGGCTTAGCTTGCAGATGTCTTCTGTTTGTTTTGTTTTGTTTTTAAATCAAATCAATGTTTAAAAACACAGCTAACTTGCCAAAAATCTGGGTTGCTTGCTTTTTCTGAACTATTGCAAGATCTGAAGCCTCTGGGCAGCTGGAGTTAACTGGCTGTCCTCTTCAGAGGGAGACTATGCTCTCTAGTTTTCCCCAGACCCCACCACTCCCAGCTGCCTCTCCAACAGGAACCAAGTATCACTTAGAGCACAGGTGGCAAACACAGCGCCCATGGGCTGAATCTGGCTCTCCACCTTATTTAATCCAGCTCTGCACCTTGCTTCTACCCAGCGGCAGCACTGAGCTCTTGCTTAACTGTTAAAGAATAGTTACATTTCTACAGTCTTAAAATTGCATTCAGCCCTTTGAAGGCAACCGTGAGGCTGATGTGGCCCCCGGTGAAAATGAGCTTGACACCCCTGATACAGTATGGCAGGATCATTGGATTTGGAATGCCGTGTTTCTTAGAGAGTGACTTCCCTTTACCTGTTGCCACTAAAGATGGTATAAGTCAAGAAGAACGGGAGGGAAGACATTCCTTAATGGAAATGAACACTATACCAATGGTCTGACATGCAGTCAACACCTTGCCTTTCACACCCCTACCACCTGCCTGGCTCTTGTGGGCTTTTACGGGTCCTAAATGCACCACCCATTCTCTTTCTCTGGGCCTCTCTGCATAGGCTAAGACCCTTGCCTGAAGCCTGCTCCTACCACATCCTGCCCTCTTGCCTTGGCTAAATGCCATACACTTTCCCAGTCAGGCAAGAGGACTTTCACCTACCTGGCAGATCTGCCAACACTCTCGCTCAACCCACCATGAAATTAGCAACTCCCTCCACTTGCGTCCACCTGGAGTCTTTGCAGGCAATGAGCTGGAATGTACTTTGTGTGTGTGCATGGACTGTGGGCATATCTGCTAGCCCTACTCCACTGTGAGCTGTTGAGTGTCAGAAAAAAGAAGCGCTCATTCAACCACTATACATGCTTTCACCGAGTACACTCACCCTCTGCACAGTGCCTGGCATAGGGTAGCAGCAACTCTTTCTTCATCAAACATGGTCTGGGAAGCTGGAATGAGCTCTGTACCATGCAGCATTTGGGAGGACACCTTTAATGCTATTTCTATTAGATGAATGAACTGTGTCCAAATCCACCTGCTGCAGAACTGATGCCAGCTGCTAGCTTTCCTGTGCACTGATCCTGGGTCACCCACCCCTGCTTATAAAATAGGAAACACCTGAGTAAAAGGAGCCTGAACAAGGGAGTGCCCAGGTGCTCAGAGACTCTTAGAAAATATATTGGTTAAAGAAGTAACAGAATATACATGGAAGAATTTAGGCACTTTTGTGCCCCTAGAATATTACTAAATACAGGCATGGTGTGTGTGTGTGTGTGTGTATGTATATAAAGTTAGCATCTATTTAGGCTTATTATTTTTACTATGTAGCAGGTATCTGGGAGATGAGTTTCTTGTTCACAAGCTGCAATCTATCCTGGAGAAAGAGCTGTAGATTGCAAGCTATCAATAAAATAACATAAATATAAATATACAGAGGAAGAGAGGCCATAAGGCAGAGTAGAACTGAATTCACCCACATTTAGCTCCCATATCTGCCTTCACTGCCCTCAGGGGACCTCTCTGTGCTCTCAGGTCTTGGCTGGAATGCTCCCTTTTTAGGGTGCTTTCCCTAATCTCCAAGACAACGCATGTCCTTCTCCTCTACCCCTCTTCACACAGTCCACTATTTGTTTCATTCCTGACTCCCAAATTCATCCCACATCAGATCCTGTAAGCACCACGAAGGATGGCGCTGTGGCTGCTATTCGCTGTCGTATTCTCAGTTCCGGGCCATTGGTGTTTGATAAAAAGTGGTTTAACCAAGGAAGCAATGGGCTCTCAGTCTCCTCACCTGAAACAGAATGGCAATAGCTCCCTGGGAAAGTGACTGGAAAGAGTAAAAGTGTTAACAAGTACATGGACTCAATATACATGAATCCCCTTTCCTAATCTCTTCAGAAGCACACACCTGGTGGCAGTCACTTGTGCTGGGGATAAGGGGCTTGAGAGAACCTCTCTGATCACATACCCATTGAGAACTCCAAAACATAGAGAAGGAGTGTCGGGGGGCGGGGGTGAGGAGAGGAACTGGAGTATAGGGGCCACAGTAGGGGGGAGAGTGGCTGAGGTGGGGCTGCCAGTGATGTGCAGTTGCTGTGACTGAGCAGAGGGACCTGGGCAGGATGGGGAGGGCAGAGGTGGGGAGACAGGTAAATGCACAGCTGTTCAGATGAGGACCCATGCACTCGGTGTGAGGAAGGAAAATAAATGCTGATGATTTTGAAGTGGATCTGCTCTTTTTTAAGCTGCCAAAGATTCTTGTGCTTTTTAGTAACTGATGATAGAGGCAGGAAAAATAAGGTGGGGATGCAGAGTGTGTGTGTCTGTTTGAGAGAGTGAGGGAGAGATCACAGGATAAACACAATTTTGGCTTTATAACTAATTCTGTAATTATTTGCAATGGGTCAATACTTTTGGAAAGAAATGAGCTACCATTTGTCAAGCCCCTAGGAGGTGCCAGGTACTTGGGAAGGGGGTGGAATTTGTGTTCCCTCATTCCATCTGTAAAACTCTGGAGAAGAAACTAAGACCCTGTTTGAAAGAAGAGAAATCTGGGCCTCAGAGCAGAAGTGGTTTTCTCTGGGTAAACAGGTAGCTGCAGAGACTAAACAGTAAGACTTGCTTCCACCAAACAGAGGTCTACTGTCCCTCAGTCTGTGCCTGGTACTGCTCTACACAATTACATCATGGAACCCTCATCTTAACCCTGTGAAGTAAGATTTGCAGTCCCTGTTGGACTGAGGAGGAAATAGGCTCAAAGATGGAGAGTAACATAACATTGTCACATAGGAGGTGGTGGGCTGAGGTTTAAACTCAGGTAGGGTGCAGAGGTCAGCTTTTTGTACTCCACCATGTAACTGTGGTTAAGGCATCTAAGACATTCTTATGAATATGCACTCAGATGATATCGACTTATGTATTGTACATATATTAATCATAGATGGTCATAGTCATCCCTAAATTTTCACAATGCTAAAGTGATGATTTTAATTACCCAGACTAATGCCACTTTGAACAGGTGTAATGGTAAATACTAAAACAGATTATATGTCACTAAAAGACTATAGATACTTAAAAAAAAAAAGCAGGAGAGAAGAGTTTGAGAGAGAATGTGGGACTTACCCAAAGTTATTGAGTTACTCTGTGAAAAGCCAGAGCCAGTGCTTTTCTCATCACACCATACAGCCTCAAAATGCAGGAGAAAAACTGTGTCCTGGGATGTCTGCTAACATTCTTATAGGGAAAGAACAGTTGAAATGGCAGATCAGAGACTTCAGTAAGGAAGGCTCAGCTGGATCCACTCTTCAAAAACCTTCAAGACTGCATTCTAGAATTCTCCCACTTGGTGGCGCAAATGAGCTAGTTTAGAAAAACAGACTCTTCTGGAAAATCCCCAGAACTCCAAACTCCCTAGTACAGGGTTTCCAAACCATTCCTCCTCATCAAAGCCTTTCCGTGAGCCCTAACAGAGCTAAACACATTTCTTCCTATGGAGGAAAGTGGCCTAAACAACTCCTGCCCAGGCCGCTCTTTAAGGATGTCATTAGAATGCAGTATGTATTAAGGCACACCACTAAAGAACTCAAAAGGCTTCTGCAGCGATTATGAGAGCTTTCTGAGAAATGTTCATAAGGACTGTATTTGGCTTGTGAAGACTTCTTTTAAGCACCAGATTAAAAAAATCTATCCTTAAAAGAGTAAAGCCGGATTTTGGTGGTCCTCACTCAATAACATTTGCTTTAATATAAGGCAGTTACTGATTCTATAAAGTCTCTGGTTCCCCACTGTCATCAGAAGCAATTCCATACTCCACAACCTGGAAAACAGAGCTGTTCATAACCAGGACAACCTCCACCCATCACCTCCTGTTGAATGAACCCACTCATCCCACCCACTAGGGAAACTAAAGTCCTTCTTGGCCTCCAACAGGCCACAGACTATCAAGGTTTTTAGGTTTCTCATGGGCTGTTTCTTCTGGGACATGCTTTCTGCTCCCCTATGCCTGGCAGATTTGACATCTGACCTTCAGATTCAGCTGTGAACTCCCTCCCAGAAAGGGTTCATTAGCTCCCTTCCTGGGTTTCCCATCACTTCTTACACACTCACATCACATCACTTTTTATCAGTATTACACCTCAGCATTTCATTTTTAGTCTGAAGCTGAGAAGACCCTTAAAACTTTATTGCATTTTAGTGTATGGTGAGGGATCTTTTGGTCAAGTCATGTAAGAGTATACATGGTTTGATTAATTATTTTGGGAAAAAGTACAAACAAAATGAGTTTATTTTTGGGTGAATGAAATTACATGTTTTCTATTTCTGATTTTTTGTCCTGTGCATAGTCTTTGGGTTTTTAGATATCTTTAATACACATGTAATTTTTTCCAGTAATTTAAAATACAAAAAGAGCAACAGACCAAATCTCTAAACTGAAATCATATTTAGTTTTAAAAACGAAGTTAAAATGATTTTTGCTTAGTTTTTGTGGGGTGTAGTGTTGGTAGATGAAATAAACATATCTTTTGCAAAAGATACTCAATCTCTTCAGTTCTGATGTAGACACTTTTAAATTGAAATAGGGATATTTTCTAGTCATCCTAAGAAGTAGAACAAAGTTGCATGAACTTAAGAGTCAAATCTTACCCTTGTCTCTCAGTTTACCCATTTTTAGACCTGGTATTGGAGGGCAGGGGTAAGTGGTCCAGAAAAGTAAAATAATTTATTCTAAGTTGCACAAATAATTTCTAACCCAGCCCAGACTACAAAATAAACATCTGACTCCTAGATTATTACACTATAACATCATACATTTTAGCAACCTAATTTTTACATGAAATATAGAAAAGTAATTGATACTTATTAGGTCCCAGTAATCATGCTAGCATATAAATTATAAAATAAATTCCAAAAAACAATGACAAAATTATGAAATCATAGACTACGTTAAAGATGGGAGGGAGGACACTTGGATATTATCTAGTCCAACATCTTCATTTCAGAGATGTGAAAACTTAGACCATGAGAAGGTAAGTGACTTGACTAAGATGGCACCATTAACCAATGGCGGAGATAAGACTCCTGGCCTATGAACTCTGTACTTCATGTTCATATGAAAGAAGCACTTTGTGTAACAAGTACCAGTATTTCTTAGAGTTGGCTCAGGGTGCTTCAGGGAAAATCCTTCTTGTGTTAACAGCTCTCCTTAACCTAAACTCCTTTAAAGGCTCTTCACAGTTTTCAAACTGAGTCCCAAGCTTAACATACAGAGCTCTTCTTGATCTGGACTCCTCTCCGCTATGCAGCCTCACACCCCAGCACTCTCCAACTCTCCTGCTAAACTCTGTGGTTTCCATATATATGCTTGCATTTGCTCCTCTTGTCCCAGAACACCTTTCTCCCAACTCCAATATCCCTCAAGGCTCTTGATCAGTGTTGCCTCATCAGGGACAACCCCTCCTACCTCCCACATCATCTCCAAGAAGTATTAGGCATTCCTGTCCTGGTCTCCCCATGATAGTTTATTACTTCCTGGCTCCAGTAAGAGGTTGCTCTTGAAGAGATGAACCACATCTTGTTTCTGTTTGGATCCTGGTGCAAAGATCTGGCACATACCAGGTGCTTGAAAAACATGTGATAATTAGACTGAAATACAACAGAGAAAAATTACTAGGTCTAGAGACTCAGCAAAATGAGAAGTAGAGAGAAATAGGCAATGAATATGTACTATGGTGGAGGCACTTATATTTATTTTATGCACTTCTTTCTCAAAACTCTGTGAGCTACTTTCTTAAAACTCTGTGAGCTACACATTGCTTTTTCTAAATTACAGATGAGGACATGGAGGCTAAGAGAACCGAAGTATCTTGCCCAACTTCACATAGCTGGCAAGGGAAAGAATAAGGATTTGCACTCACATTTGGATGACTCAAGAACAAAAACAAATAAACAAAAAACCCTACCGTTTCCATTACTCTGCTGCAGGGGCCAATAAAAAGAAGAGAGAGGGAAGCTCTTTGCTTTTCTAGTCCTTTAACACATATCTGGACTAGTGGTGCTACAACAGCATTTTATACCTCATTTCTTTTGTCTTTTTAAATTCATCAACTTTCTGCTAATTCTGTGAAACAAGAAGGGGAGAAGTTTAGAAAGAAATACCGGATAAAGACATGGTGGAAGGTGGGTTTGGAAGGTGCAGCAGTGTCATTGGGAGAATGATATTGCTGAGCTTTCTGAAAATGACTTTTATGTCAATGAGATCCTTCCCCCATTAGCCACCATTAAAAAACCAATGGCTTAAATCTGGGTGGTTTGAAGTACACAACTTAATGTTAAATTTGGCCTTAAGAGGGAAGTAAATTTCCTCTCAGCTAAAGTAACACACACATGCACACCACACACACACTTGCTCCAATAAGGGTGCTTCATGAGCACATTTTAATGGCAATATCTTAAGGTAACAGTTGCTCCCACCCACCTTGGAATCAGCACCAGAAGGGCATAATTTGCTTGTGGAAAGCAGAGGAAGTGACTGAAAGCAGAGCAAGAGCCGAGCAAGGGACATTGTTCCCTCTCTGACCTTTCCCTCACATATAGCCCCACAAAGCAGAGAAGAGGGTTGCCCCGCCCTGGTGAATACCTAAGGCTCTTCCCCTTACAATGTAGCAAGTGTACCTAGACAAAGGAATATGCCCCAAATGAAAGAACAGATCGCAACACCAGAAAAAGAACTAAGCGACAAGGAGATAGCTAACCTAGCAGATACAGAGTTCAAAACACTGGTGATCAGGGTGCTCACAGAAATGATTGAGTGTGGTCGCAAAATAAAGGAAGAAGTGAAGGCTATGCAAAGTGACATAAAGATAAATAAATATACAGGAAACCAACAGTGAAGGGAAGGAAACTGGGTCTTAAATCAACAGTTTGGAGCAGAAGGAAGAAATAAACATGCAACCAGAACATAATGAATAAACAAGAATTCAAAAAAATGCAGAGAGGCTTAGGAACCTCTGGGACAACTTTAAATGCCCCGATATCTGAATCACAGGGGTACCAGAAGGAGAAGAGGAAGAGCAAGAAATTGAAAATTTATTTGAAAACATAATGAAGGAGAACTTCCCCAATGTGGAGAAGGAAATAGATTTCCAGGAAGTCTATGAAGCTCAGTGTCCCAAAGAAATTGGACCCAAGGAAGAACACACCAAGGCACATCATAATTACATTAGTCAAGATTAAAGAGAAGGAGAGAATCTTAAAAGCAGCAAGAGAGAAGGAGAGAGTTACCTACAAAGGAGTGCCCATAAAATTATCAGCTGATTTCTTGAAAGAAAACTTGCAGGCAAGAAGAGGCTGGAAAGAAGTATTACAAGTCATGAAAGGCAAGAGCCTGCATCCAAGATTACTCTATCCAGCAAAGCTATCATTTAGAATGGAAGGGCAGATAAAGTGCTTCCCAGACAAGGTTAAGTTAAAGGAGTTCATCACCAAGCCCATATTATATGAAATGTTAAAGGGACTTATTTAAGAAAAAGAAGATCAAAACTATGAGCAGTAAAATGACAACAAACTCACAACTATCAACAACTGAATCTAAAAAATAAACAAGCAAAAGCAAACTAAGCAAACAACCAGAACAGGAGCAGAATTGGAGAAATGGAGATCACAGGGAGGGTTATCAGTGGGGATGGGGAGGGGAAGAATGGGGGAAAAGGTACAGGGAATAAGAAGTATAAATGGTAGGTACAAAATAGACAAGGGGAGGTTAAGAATAGTATAGGAAATGAAGAAGCTAAAGAACTTATATATAGGACCCACAGACATGAATTAAGGGTGGGGGGACTCTGATGGGAGGGGCAATGCAGGGCAGAGGGGAATAAAGGGGAGAAAAAGTGGGACAACGGTAGTAGCGTAATCATAAAATATACTTTTAAAAAAAGCTAACGAAAAGCTAACGGTTGCTGAGAAGACACAAAAGAAAAGTGGTGAGTCCACAGAAAAGGCCGCCAGAGGTGGTGCTCTTTTTATAAAGTGCTTCCTTGCTCACTGAGAGTAGCACAGCTTCAGGCCCTCAGTTACTGGAGCATCCCTTCCCTGCTGGCCTGCCAGCTGGAGCATGGCCCTGCCTAGCCTTGAATCACCCACCAGTGTTCTTTCAAATAGAGACAGATTTGGGAGTGTCCCTTTGAAAGGCTGCATGAAGTACAGGGACATTTCCGGTTGGGCTGGGGGAGGGGTGT